ACTGCCTAGCCTGTTCGATGGCCCACGAAGGGTCATCAACTGCACAACGAACCCATTGAAAGGAACTAGGGGATACATCTTATTAGTCAGCAAGGCATGCGGTATGCTTACGGACAGAACTCTAAGGCCTTTCCAAGCCATGTGCTGTAAAGCTTGTTTTTGGAACACAGGAAGTATAAGCCACATTGCAAAAGGAATATAAAGGGCAGCTGCATTATCTCTAGTTTATCTCCAATCCTGCTTCCTACCTCTGGAGTAACTTCTCCACAAACTGAAGCTCTGAACAAAGGACTGAATGACCCATCCAAGTTGGGGATGTATTCCAGAGGGACTTTCAAGCCAGTAAACTCACCCATACTGCTAAGAACCTGATATATGGACTCTGAAGTCTTTGTATGTATGTGACTGCTTTACCATTTAACAACTGTCTTTCCATAAACAGAAAGTGGCAAGATTAAGAGAGACAGGAAAGAGAAATGTAGGAAAAAGGAAAAGCAAAATTACCAAACAATAATATATAGGGAATATTTTCTAACAAAGAAAACAAAAAATGTGGAAAATTAAATAGAAATGATAACAGGAAATTAAAACAATAAACAGATCCCAATCCTTCTCCCACGGAAGTCAGTGAAAAAACTCCCATTGACTTCAGTGAGAGAATGTTCAGGCCTACAGTCTCTATCATCGGACATGTTACCAGTTACTGTCTCAGGTCTGCAATGGGATCCATATGGACTGTCCCCAACACCCCATGGAGTCCCTCTGACTTCCATGGACATCTGTGCAGATGCAAGAGTCCAAAATGAAGATGCTGGAGTCCATGCTGGCAGTGGGTGTGTTCAATGAATAACAGTAATTTATTTAAAGAGCCTCTCTGTAGTTATGGGGATTGTCTTAATGATTATAAAAGGCCACTAACAGTTTTGAAATTGCCCATCTATTAATATTCAAGTAGGAGAGTGTCTTCAAATGTGCTCTTCAGTTTTATCTTGTGAAATGGGTCACTGGAGATATCTTATTAGATGAAATCATACATACGAAACCAGTGGTACATATCTTGCCATTCATAATCACGCTTTTGTGACCTGTTCCATTAAAATAACAAAAAATAAATGGTCATTTGAGACTGGGATAACTGGTCTATAGTTGGTCCTGTGAGAACTGTAATCAATTTTGTTCATTACATTTGCATCTCTTTGGAAAAAAATAATAGTTCTCAGGTATATTCAATTTACATTTCCTGTTTTCAAGCCACCAAGACTATCCCACACCTTGGTATTAGAGGATATTGGTATAATATCTTGCTGTAACTTCAGAGTTACTGAGATCAACAACATGAATTTCCATTGTATTTTATTAATTACTGTGTTGAACTTATAAAGAGCTTCCTTAAAAAGAAAAACAGCAGCATTAAAGGTGTACACAATATTTCCTTAGAATGGCAATAAGCTGAATTTTTATTTAGATACTACATATACACAAAATGATGTAGAAGGTTTATGGACTCAATCTTCTGCTGTGCCACGCTATTACTAGGAGGAATTCAGAAGAGGCACGGGGACCAATCCTAGGCCAAGCACAGGCTAAAACAGGGATCCATGGCCTTTTCAATTAGGAGAAAACTTAAGTTCCCCCCCCGATAGAATGATTTGTGGGAGAGACATTTTCTTCCCCGAAGCTCCCACATGTAGGTTTTACCACAGGAGAGAATGATCTGTCCCTACAATGAAGAAAACTCTAGAAAAATATAAGATAGGGGAACAATCCTGACGGGGAGACAAAGTGGAAGACCTAACTGTTCTCTTCTATCTCTTACTTTTCTCATCCTACGTAATGGGTTTTAAATAGTTAGGAAATTGTAAGTTAAATATTTGATGTAAAACATCTAGGCGGTAAGGAATGCACAAGTACAAAACACAAGGGACGGGCCTGATCATGCCAAGGCCTTTCAAATCTGTTGTTTTTACTACCCAATTTCCTTTTTCTGTAAAATTGTCTACAGATTTGATATAAAAAAAACTTCATTAATTTAAATAATGGAATGTAAAAATAAATCAATGAATTAACCACACAGTCTCCCAGAGAGATGCCATGTGCTACTGACATGATTTCTTGACAAACTTCTCTGTCATATATGAGATGCAAATAGTTGTGGTGGCAAATGACGTCATTTTAATGTGTAACTATCTGAGCACACTTGCTAACAAGGTAAAAGGTAACATCTATTGCCACTGCTTGTGCCTTTAGTTATTTGCTCCACAAAACTGTGCCCGTAAGGACTGTGGGAACAAAACTAAAGGCGCACTGTGAAAGTTGGGTGGTGCCCTTTTAAAAATTTGTTCTGAAATGTTAAAAAATTGTCTTCATTTTACACCCTTTGGTTGAGATGACCAGAGCAGTGGAGGGAATATGGAGAGAAGATGTCTGGCAAAATCTCCCGCACTGCTGTGAAATCTCAGCTTTTATGCAACCCACCTATTTAATTATAAAATTGCAAAATATGATGGGGGTAAATCCTGCTGCAAAAACCTTCTGGGAAATCACATTTCCCATGGACTCAGCACCACTAAGAATACAGTCTACTACATATTTATTTATTTTCCTTATAAATGCCAAACCTATTGTTGTTATGCAAAATATTTATGTTACCCTCCTTCCTACTAGGGAATGATAAGACAAGTTATCATGTGCACTCTAAGCATTCAGCAATACAAGATGTGAATAATAGCCATGTTTTCAGTTTAAAAAAAAAATCTTAACTTGGAACATTCAGTCTTTCATTCCTTTCAAGACAGTAATTCAATCTAAAGGTTGCCCTCAAATTCATGCTAGATAAGATATATGTTGTATGGCTGCTATGCACTTGGCACTGACTCAAATGGATGTTCATTTAACCTCTGCCCTGCTTTAGAAGTTGGGCCACATTTTTGTTTGTTTCTTTCTTTTTTCATGCGGACAAAAGCCATTCAGTGAGTTTCTTTCAGAGATTAGCAGAGGTACAGTATCAGCCTCGATAATAAAAAGGGAAAGCGACATCAAGATCATTGAAAGGATGTGAAAGTCCCTGCATATTCTTAAGGTAGTGATTTAATTATGATGTATCACATACTCTGAATGAACCTCTTTTATGGGTGGTGAGGTTTCTCTGTAACAGTGTAACAAGTAGAACCTGTTTCCTTGAGAATTCAGGATGGCTGAGTATTGAAATTGAGAAGAGCTAGTAGGAATATTTTTCACTCTTTCTTCTGATCCCAACATGCTACTGTTCATGTGCTGCCAATGTAACTTACAAATATAGCATTTTTATCATTGATAAGACTAATAATCTTTCTATGTTGTATTTTGATTTTCATGCAATAGCATACTCAATAAGTATCATCAATTGGAAAAATGTCATTGTCTTCAAAGGGAGCTGGATTAGACCCTACATGATCTAAAATTCTTACTGTGGAGATGTTGATACAATATATACCAAGGATCACCATATGCTAGAGCTAATATTAGCATCAGCATTTAAGCAGATTACATTAAAACAGTAATGCACAAACCTTTTTGCATATGGGAAGTCTGGATTTCATAAAACAGAGTACACTCAGCTATGTCAACTAAACAATGCACCTCTTTAGTAAGTGATCTATTCCATTATAATGCTACTGGGTTTTGACCCCATTTATAGTAAATCTATCAGGGAATAAACAGTGAATATAGATCACTACATGATTCAATGCCTAAATTATTGTAGGCCTACATCATCATGGAGATTTAGGGTCTGTAGCCTTTTGCCCACAGTTTCCTAACTGCCCATTCTTCACAGTTTTCAGGTGAATTAGTGAGGCAGGAAATGGATGTATCTAACATTGTGTGTTTACGAAAAGAGCAGTCAGTGACTAGACCCTGCAGTTCCACTTTAACCCTCTAACTCTGCTGAAGCATTGTTGCTTCTCTCCAGGCAACCTAGCAAAATTCTTGTCCAGCAAAATCAGTTGGTTATCAGCTTACTTACCCCCTAAGCTTTTGAGGTCAAAGAGTCAGTTTGAGAAAGGGTAACAGTAGAGCCACTGGGATTTGTGAAAGAATTTTGTCAAAGAAATTCAGTCCTATGCTGTATATTAAGTATCCAACTGAACAAAATGTCTAATGTTGGAGTATTTCAGAGTTATTGGACGTACGCTTTAACAAGACTTTTTGGCCTGAGGGCCACATCGGGTTTTCAAAATTGTATGGAGGGTCGGTTAGGGGAGGCTGTGTCTCCCCAAACAGCCAGGTGTGGCCCAGCCCCCGACCCCTATCCGACCCACCCTGCTTCTCACCCCCTGACAGCCCCCCCCGGGACTCCTACCCCATCCAACCCCCCCATTCCCTGTCCCCTGATGGCCCCCCCAGGGCTCCTGCCCCATCCACCACCCCCTGCTCTCTGTCTCCTGACCGCCCCCAGGCCCTCCTCCCCTAACTGCCCCCCGCCACCCCATCCAACCCCCCCTCCTTCCAGACTGCCCCCCCGGAACCCCTGCCCCCATTCAACCCACCTGTTCCCCCCCCTCTGACCGCCCCAACCCCTATCCACACCCCCGCCTCCTGATCACCACCCCAAACTCCCCTGCCCTCTTACTGTACTGCCTGGAGCACCGGTGGCTGGCGGCGCAGTGAGCTGAGCTGAGGCTGCAGAGGAGGGGGAACAGCAAGGGAGGGGCCGGGTGCTAGCCTCCTGGGCCAGGAGCTCAGGGGCCAGGCAGGAGGGTCCCGCGGGCCGGATGTGGCCCACAGGCCGTAGTTTGCCCACCTCTGCTATAGGCCTATTCCCATTTCCACCAGCAGAGGATATGGCTCTCTGGGTGCTTTATCTGACTATAAAGATCACAGGACTATGTTTTATCATAGCGAGCGTTTTTCAGAAAAAATCTTTATCAGCTCCTTCGGAAGACAAGTTTCTTAAAGTCAAAGACAAGTTTCATTTCCAAAAACCAGAGTGAAAGCTCCTGGGTAGTTAAAGAAGCACGTACCTTTGAACACTGTTTATGATTCTGGCACCAAACAAGGGAGCCATTGTTCTGCAAAAGAAAAATATATATATATATTAATATTAAATATGTCATTAAAAATTGCCCAGATCATGCCATCAGTTTTTAGGCTGAACTTCTCTTCTAATTCTGTTTGGAAACTGATGTTACAATATAAGCCCAGTATCAGTAACAATCCTGACAATTGTTTAGTTGTTATTGGGTGAGGTCCTCATCCCTGCCTTGGCCCCTTTACATTGGGTAAAAGGCCTAGCATGGCATAAAGGTCCCTTAAAAGCCCTGGTTACAACTGGGAGAGAGTTCCCCCAGCATAGACACAGAGGAACCCAGCCATAAGGCTGCCTTCTGAGGATCCCCCAACCCAGCACTGATTGTAGAGGCATGCTGAGGGGCAGAACTGAGAACAGGAGGAATGTGTCAGAGCATATCAGGCAGCACTGTGGAGATTCTAGGCAGTGCTCCAGCTGATGGGGGAGGCTGGTGTAACTCTGACAAGCTCTTAGGGCATCTAAGTTACAAGGGTCTCTACGGCCCCCAAAGTAGCTCAGGATTGATAAGATGCAAAGGTGGATTAAAACCACTATCGTACTTCCTCCCCCTGGGGTGCAAGTTTACCTAAAATTCCAAAATCTCATCTATTATTTTTCACCTACTCTGTATAGTGGGGTCCGTGGATATGAGCATAGGAAAGAAAATCATTTTGTCCATTTTTTCCCCTTAAAGCAGACACGAAGGCCTTGATACAGCAAAAGCATTTAAAACACGCGGTTAACTTTAAATACATGAATAGTCTCAGACATCAACAGGACAACTTGCATGTTTAAAGCTAAGCACATGCTTAAGCGCTTTGCTTGGCTAGGACTTGAATTATAAACATTGATTTCCACATTTCTGTGATTAAAATAGAGAGAGGATGGTGGTAGGACGCAGTACATACCCTTTCTGAATTTGGACCTGCATATTGGACCTGATCCAAAGCCCACTGAAGTCACTTTAAGTGTGTCCATTGATTTCTACGGGCTTTGGATCAGCCCATTATGAAGTACAGGGACAGATATTTAAAACACTGAATTAACAAGAATTACACTTCTACTTTACAAGCTCAATTAATGCAATTAAAATTATGTACATGCTTGTTGGAGATGAATATGGTAGAAGAGAGGACCTGCATCTGTAGGTCAGGAAATTCCACTTAGTTCCAGTAATGAATTTTAGTTTTGTTTATTTTTATATGGCAGAGTAGATGTTTTTAGCATCACAGCTATTTGCTAGAATATCTTAGAAGATGGTATATATAAAGATGAGCAACCGGTACTCCACTTATCCAAAGCTCATTTTAGTAGCAGTCTTAAAAGGTTCTTGATTCATATAATTTGATTTCAATATTTTATGTGCATTTGCCTTTTCATCTTCACAATTATCTACTATAAAACCACTGCTTCATATATACAATCTCATATTTAGCTGTGATTATTTTAGAATTTTACTAGCTACAATGTTTATAGACACAAGAATAATTAAATATAAAAACAGAAGTCATGCACAACCCCTTAAAAAGATATAAATAGTTGAAATAAAACTTTAGGATCTCTATAAAGAACACACACGAGTGGGAATGCTTCAGTGTTATCCTCAATGTCACTCTAGAATGTATTGATTCCTTTTTCAAATCTAGCCAGTGGAAATGTTAAAGCAATATTTCACATGCTACTTTCATTTTCTTACTTCTTCACGTAAAAACGTAACAGAAAGAGCAATGATTGCAATAACAGATTAGTAGCAATTTATTGTTTTATTTCCTAGTCAGGCAGCCCCTTCTACTGAAACAAAAAAAGCATTCTTGTTTTTTAATTATATCTGGTACTTGGAACAATACCTCAACAAATATCCACATGGATGGCTTTCCTTCTTTTTAATGTTTTACATCTACAAACATTTGCATTTTCCTACTGTAAACTAGTATGTGTTCAATTAAAAAAAATTCTAAGTTCAGAACCACATAAAACCATCACTTAGCAGAGTCAGCTGCATATAAACTAATATGTACTGAACGTTATACTGTATTTTATAAGGTGAAAGAGCAAATTTTCAGTGCTTTACTTGAACAATATAGAAACTAACATTCTAAACCCTGATTCCTTTCCCTTTGCAAATGACTAACACAAATAGCATTTACATTCAAGAAGTGATTTTTTTAAATGCAAACCCATCTGGATAAAACTTTATGTTTCAAAGTATCTGAATTCCTGAATTTTAGCTTGGACATTTTACCTGCTAGATTCCCTTGCATTATCTGTATTTCTATAGAGTCAAATCCAGTACCACTTAATTCAATGGGAGTTTTACCATTGATTTTAATGGGACTATGATCTGACCATTGTACTTGACCTGTAAATTTAAGGCTAGGTTGCCTTTGAAAATTTCCTTCTAAATTTTAAAACAAATGAACCAAAAATTCAAATGCAAGTGATTAGAAAGTGAAAGATGACAAAGCCATTTGCCTCGGAAATATTACAAGTACATAATTCAAGCTTTTGATGAAAACATGAAAAACAAATATTTATAAAGAAACTGACAAAGATATTTAGATGCTTTGCTTCTGACAGGTGTGCATGCACACTGCACTATCGAGTTGCCCAGCCAGTAACATCATTGGGCATGATCCTGCAAGATGCAAAGCACAGGGGTTCTGTGCCTTCCGCTCCATAGTAAATGGAAACAGAGGGAATCCAGCAGTGTACAGAAAGTTCTTAGCACCTTGCCGGATCAGAGGACTTGTAAGCATGAAAAGCACTGAACAGTTGAAGAACCTTGTTTATATCCATGGCCTGGAACAGGGAAGTACTTTTAATAAGTATTATCACAATATCCCTCCAAAGCAACTGGAAACTGCCAGCTATGGAGGCAAGCCATGACAAAAATAACTTCCCTCATTGGCATCTTATTCCATAATTTTCCATTATGAGGTTTCTTGAACCTTCTTTTGAAGTATCTGATACCTGACACTGCTAGAGATAAGAGGCTGGGCTAAATGAACCACTTGTCTGATCTGTTATGACAATCCCTACGTCCCTATTATCATTTTTGAAAGTCTGTTCCTTTCTGCAATCTTTGATTCACTTTTGATTGAAACTCCTATTCTTCAAAAGCTTCTTCTGTCAAAAATGAAAGCCCCATAAATGAAGAGAGAAGTGTAGAAATAAGTCCTTCATATGACAACCTGTCACCTGCATGAAACAGAGCTACTGAGTAGACAGACCAATAGCTGCTGCTAAGGCAAACATTAAGGGGATGGCATGAGTTTACAACACTACAAATGCAGCTCATACAGGCATCTTATTCCCAACATTTTTCATTAACCTGTCAGCAATCTCTGCAGCCTAAACATTATATGCTGTGAAACAGCACTTTCTCCTAACTGATATAACACTCTCCCACCACTCACTCACTTACTAATTAACTGTGTTTATGGTGTTTGCATGTATATCTATATACACAGCATAAATACATTAATGAGAATTTCTTATAGGGTCTTGGGGATTCCTTTTTTACCTAACCAAAAATGACAGGCAATCCATCTTCAGGAATATGGAAATAAATCAATTTGATAGCATTCTCCACATCCGTTTAACTTTCTCTAATTTGCAGAAACTGGGATTCAAATTGCATAGGGAAGGAGTTAGCTATCTGTGTTTAATAGAGGCCTGTGGTAAGTTTCCCCTTTTAGGCTCCTCCTCCTCCAGGTTCAACAAGCCTTGCAGATGCACCTTATTAGCACATCACAGGCTCAGAATAGCTCATTAGCCTCCCCCTGCCCAGTGTGAGGTCGTGTCCCTTCTCATACCCCTCCCCTCATGATGGGATGGACGTTCACAGGGAAGGGGCGGTTGACTCCATCCCCGAACTCTTGTGACAAGAAATCAGCGTTAGTGTGGTCTGGTGTTCTACTCAGAAACTATAGGATTGTAATGCAAGATACTATCTCATTAAAAGAGGGTTCTTGTCCCTCATGGTCTGAATCCAGCGTACGGGTGGATTCAGATCAGTGATTAGGGAGAAGTGGCTACACAACAGGCAAAACCTGAAGGCATCTACCACCCATTTGATCGTTAATGCCTCCTTTTCAATAAATGAGTATGACTTTTATCTAGGGAATAGCTTCCTACTTAGGTATAGGACTGGGTGTTCTTCTCCTCCAAAGTCCTGTGAGAGAACAGTGCTGAGACTGATGTTCAAAGCATCTGTATGTAGTATGAATTTCCAGGAAAAATCAGGGTTGAAGAGCCCGGTTGCCTGGCATAGTCATGTTTTCAGTTCCCTGAACACTTCCTTAAACTTCCCATCCCAGTGGATCTTCTTAGGGTTGCTGCCTTCCTCAAATTCTCCCTGGTGAACATCCCTATGTTTCTAATTTTCTCCCTTCATTCAGATATATTGGGTCATACGTAAGGCACTAACATCTTGCTCTTCCCACCCTTCTCGTAGCAAGTCCAAGATGCCTCACGGTTGGCAGACATACAGCAACTCAAATAAGAAGAGCCCTGTAGAGGTTTGTGGGATCTCCCCAGTGGCAAAAAGGACTGGTGGAAGTAGCCAGTCCCACTGCTTAGGGTTGTCATTGACAAAGCATTTTAACTTTCCTTTCGGGGTGTTATTAAACTGCTCTACTAAACCGTCAATCTGTGGTTGGTATACCAAGGTTTTCAGGGACTTGACCTTCAGAAGGAAGCATAATTCCTTCAACAGTTGGGAAGTGAAGTTAGTCCCTTGGGTGGTTAATATCTCGTGGTATCTCTGCCACCCACTTATACCACCACTCCGATTCCATCTTGAGCAGAGCAGCTGGACTCTATCCTCTCTAAGGCTTTTTTAAAAAAACCCTTTGTAGCAGGCATAGTTTGCCCACATTCTCCACCATTTGTGGGGAAGGGCAGGGCTCCCTAGGCCCCTCCAGGTCCCACTGTCTGTTGTTTACCCTCTCTTCTACCATTGCAGGTGCGCCTTGTTAGTGCAACACAAGCCCAGAAGAG